ATTAAAACATGTGAGAACAGCTGGATCCCAACAGGTTTTTCTGAACAAACACAGGAATCTCAGCAGGGTGATAACGAGTTCTGTGCTGTGCCTGAAATGAGCTGTGGAGCATTCACGTGGAGATGAAGATGGAAATCTAACTATGAATGTGAGAAGACAGAGAATTGCTAAAATAGAGATTTTTGGTTTTTGCCTTTAAGGTAAAACTGCTTTAAATTTTAGCTTTCGGGTCAAACTTAAATACAGGTTTGCTAAAGAAATTCTACACAAAGCCTAATTTGTAAAAGTGATTTTACAACTTAATGTCAGAGCAGACCGACTTCCATTAGTAACACAAGGTTAAATCTGTTTTCCTAGTTTCTTAAGTGTCGCGACAATCCTTTAATTGTAGTAAGGAAACCTCCCAAAATCCAAGCTTAGAACATTTTCCTCTAAGAACTACTGATTCTGTGCAAAATTACATGACACTAAAATAGGTGCTAGAGCTTGAAATGAAACAGTTTATCAAAATATGATGAAAAAATTACACAAAGTTTTATTGCTGCAAGAATGGACGCCATCACCAAAGCTTTCACTTGATGAGCTGTGTCTTTGTCATAATTGCCAAGTTTTACACACAAGACCAGTTTCCACCAATAAAAATTGTTAACTAATTTCCTCAAATGTGATTAAAATGTATGAGTGAAAGGGAGCTTAATTTGAGGACCCCTTTAATTTTAAAACCTCACACCCAAAAAGTTGCTTTAAGGAGTAAAAGTGTTCATTTTACCTCTAACTTAATATTAAATGTTATGTTTTCCCTTTATAAACATATTTCATAAGCCAATATTACAGGGGAGCAACTTCTCTTAACCAAAACTGGCTTAATCATTTCCTAAATTCCTCAAGTGTCAGCACAATTCTTTAAATTTACCAAGGAAACCGCAAACACCTAAACCGAGGAGCATTTCAGGCCCAAACCTCCTTCTGTGCAAAAACACCAAAGTACCAGAGATTTAAACGGGACTGCAGAATGAACGGATTCATAAAAACACGGTGACCTTTCACGCTGAAAGTAACACAAATGACGTTTAAAACGTGAGACGCTGCCAAACCAAAGTCCAACAACAAAAACAGCCATTTGCACATTTTCTCGGTTGTCGACCCTTAAAATTAGATTTTTGAACAAGACTGGGGGCATTTCTTTTTAAATGTCTGCGTGATCTTTAATTCGGCATTGGTCTTACAACGAATAAAACACGTGATCACCCGTAGTTTTCATTTCATTGTCACAGCAATCAGCTGTTATGAAGCGTTAATGGAAACTGTCTGAGGCTCACAGCTTAAAGTGATGAATTGATTACCTGGTGCCGATACGTTTTTCGACTGTAGCTACGAATGAGAAGGTGGCGCAGTTAACCTGCCACAGCCACCAATAATCGACACCTTAAATTGGCTGTTTTTTAAATTAAGTTTGGCCTACAGACCCATCTCCCTGACGAAAGCGGGCAAACTATTGACGGGAAAGCCAAAACAACAGGCAGCAGCTGCAGCATCCTCTCCGTGGCTGCCATGCGGCTTCCTTCGGCTCATTCCCCGAAAACACGCGTGTAAAATTCTGATTAAAGCGCCTCGTGAAGGGCACATCAGTCAAACCCACCGCCTGCAGCTGCTGCTGATCGGCCGCCTTCCCGACCAGCGGCGGCGGGTCGCCCCTCTTCTGCAGCCCCTTCCGCGGGTGCTCCATGTCGGCTTTGTTGAACCCCCCGGTCCGGTCCTCTCTCTTCTCCCGGCTCCTGGCGCCTCCGTCCCCGCCGGTGGAGTCCAGGCTGCTGAAGTTCCACACGATGAGAGTCTGGACCAGCAGGACGGCCAGAGCGGCGACCAGCAGCAGCGCGGACCTGGAGCGCCGGGCCAGCCTGCGGGCGCACGGGTTACCGTTCATCTTCTCCTCCTCCCTCCCTCCGGGTCAGACTCAGACTGAGAGCTCCATCCGCTAAACGCCGACAGCGGGGTGTGAATGCTCCCCTCCGCGGCCAGAGAGCTGCTACTGGCTGGCAGAGAGCAGCAGCAGGAGGAGGAGGGAATTTGGCACAGACTCGAAATGAGGAGAGAGTTTTGGAGGCGGTGAAGAGGACGCAGAGGCCCTCATGCGGCCATTTAACGTCAGTAGTTCAGAGAAAGTCTGAGATTCCCCGAATGCACCAGTGAACGACTCAGGAAATCCTGCCTGTGGATACATATCTGTACGACTCCCCCATCCAGTAGCTGCACCCTTCATCACATGCTGCAGTGAAGTTTTACAGTAAAATGTCTGTAATTTTCTGGATACGCAAATATCTTAATTATAAATATATTAGAGCTGTTTCTTATATTTTGTAACGTTGTAATATATCGTATTCAGCCTGTTGCTGTTCTTATTGTCTCGGACCGACTGTAGCCACATCATTTCCTCTGGGATTAATAAAATGTTCTGAGTCTGATTGTGAAGCGACACCTCTGCAGGGCCGGAGCTGCATGTCTGTAGACAGGAGCAGAAAGCCGTCGTTGCCCCCCCCCTGAAACCACACACTGAAAAATTAGAAACTGATTTTTTTTTTACTTTTCGAGGAAAAATACCAACAACTTTGCCTGAATTGTAATGCTGTGTGATACCAAATAAATAAAGGGAGCTTTATAGAGGAGAGCAGTGTTTCATGATTTATGAGGTGAATCATCATCAACACGTTTGAATGATCACTAAATCAGTGTGATTTTCACTTTCTGCCATAAATAACACAGTGAACACATCTTTCAGCTTTCATGTACATAATTAAACAGATTGTTTGAGACCTGGAACAGAAACGTGTCTGTGTCTAAAACACTTTAGGCCAGCTTCTGTTGCTTAAATGTGCTATAGACGTTAAATAAAATAGACGTGACGGGGAACGCTGAAAAGTTGGGACATTTTTCACAGTTCCTGTTTGACGTATTTTTTTTCACTTAAAAAATAATGGATCATTTTCAGTGCTGATCTTAGACGATAGAAACAAAGTATCGACCCAGCACTGAAACCCTGTTGATAGCATCGATATGAACATTTTGCTACTTTGTCTCTGTTTCTGTCACCGTGATCACACTGGAGTTTTTTCACTGCTGTTCCAGTTTTCTTTTATAAGGCAGCCCCAGTACAGCTGGTCAAATTTTGGTTTTTGAATGAGCATATAGTAGGAGTCAAACCTGATTTTCGACATGATATTTAAGTGATATTTGTTACCGCTTTCATTATCTGAGTGCCAGCATGTTCAACCTAAACATAGCCCCACCTGCAGTTTCCTCTGGTTCACATTTGGCCTTGACTGAGGATTTAGGCACACATGAATCATTTATGGATCAATTGTGTGGTGACATCTGGACCACATCTGGATTCAGCACTAAGAAACAAATGGATTATTATCAGGACATCCTTTCCTTCTCACAGTAACCCTGACAGGTACATGAAGGTCGTTATCAACTTTGTAAAAGAGAATATGTTGACTTCTCCTCTAGCAGCAGGGTAAAAATCATAATTAAACAACACCTTTTCTTTCTAGGGAAAGGCTGAATAACTATATATCTTTGTGGTCTCCTGTCAAAAACATGGATGTGGGACCTGCTGTTCTGCTAACCGCACCTCATGAATACCATGACGTGTAACTTACAAGAAAATGTACAAGACCTGAAACAAAAGTGAAACTTGGATTTAAAACCGGTTGAACAAGCTAACAGGTGGCTGTGTTACTGAGAAACAAACAACGGGCCGATGATTTTTATTCCCCGTCCTCCTTTTAGATCTGCTTCTCCTGCTCCCTGTTCGTCACCTTAAAGAAGAAACGCAGCATTTTTCAAAGTGCATTTATTGGGTGTATTTGGCGATTGAAGAATATTCCATGTCTTTGACAGATCTTGATTTTTAAAAATCTTGACTGGATTTAAAATCCACTGTGGTTGTGTACAGAGGCAAAATTACAAACGTGTGCCATTTTCCAAAAGTCCAGGCCTAACAGCATGTCAGCCATATTCCCATAAGATGTTTTATGTGATGAGAAATGTAAGAGAGGACACAGCAGAGCAATGGAAACTTTAATACTGGTAGGAATGTAGTTGGACAGGTGATTCCCGTTTGCACATTTCCCTCTGATATTTCTGACTGCCTGTAATTCGTCTTACAGACCTATAGGAAAATGTACATTTTGAAAAGGCAAATTTGTGCTGATCATAAATCTTTCGTGGAGGAAAAGAAAGTTCTCGTAAGCCCGTTTTGTCTGATAGGCCCTGGGTGGTGTGCAGTTGGTTCTCAGGACTGAAACCTATGATAACTCCTGTACAGACCACACCCAATAAATAACATCATCTACAATCTAAAGTGAAGGACGTAACAATGTGCAGAATGTGAAACAGCTGATAGAAGGATTTCTATTCATGGTACTTCCTCCTGAAGGCTGAACATTGTTATTTAAACGAAGCAGACTGAGACACAGGCTGCACTTTTGGGTGAACCTGGAGAGAGAGGTACGTTTTTCCTCAAAGTCTAGATTTTCACAGATAGTTCTGTGTACATAAAGTGCCAATTAAAGTCCAGTTAGCTGCTTATTGACTAATCAGCTTTGTGACTCTTTCAGATGAATTGTTTATTTCTAGAGTTTCAGTCAATATTTAGAGATTATCAGAACACAAACAACATTAGTGAAGGTTACCAATGACCCTCTGAAAGCCTCTGACAGTGCACTCTCTGGACCTGTCCTGCTAGGCAGCGTTCAGTACCAGTGACCATAATATTCCTCTGCAGACAGTCGAGTACTTTGTACTGTGGGTGTTGGTACTGAAGAAAGTGCAATGCACCTGTTTGGATCATTTCTAATAGGTTCTAGTAGATTCTAGTAATTTTTCATGTAAATATTCTCGTCTGTCTTCTTCACCCACAAAACGTAGTCACAGAGTTGCACATGGTTCTTGGGTTGGCACCAGTGCTTTTTATTTTATACATACTTTCCATAGGTGCTGCTTATTACAATAATGCATACGACATACCCGGGCCTGTCTTTAAGACAAAGGTCTAGATGACCACTAGCTTTTCTGCTTCTAAATTCTGATTTAACTGTTATTGTACTTCCTGCGAATAACCCTGAGAAACCTGGTGTCTAAGCAGATGCTGACTGGATGGTATTAGCTTGGCCTCCAGTGAGGCTCCACTTAGAGGTCTCATTTTTATCTGCATTAAGATACCAACACTGGTATACTTGGTATCTACCCAACTGTGTTAAATAATATATAGAATATATTCATCTTATGATATTTTAAAATTGGGGGGACAGTTGTTGGATTTATTGAGATTTGCATTTCATTTTTATTATCATATATTTTTATCATTATATTCTGTTGGCTTTATGTTGACATCATAAAGCCAAACTCCAACTGAAATGAATCAAGTGTTTTAGTCTCTGTCTTTCTAATATTCATGTTTTCCATTTTTTTTCTTAGTATATTATTGTATATGTGGATTTTTATTCCATATGTTTGGACTGGAAATTATTTAAGATTAACTTTACTTAAAAATGAATTTAAAGTAAATTCAAATTGCTTTTCTGGACACAACTTTAAATTACTTGACATATAATAATAATAATAATAATAATAATAATAATAATAATAATAATAATAATAATAATAAGCCTTTTTGAACGGTAACCCTTACCCTGTTTTTGTCTTAATTTGATGATGTCCTCATCATAATAATTCTTCTTCCTGCAGGGACACTGACACCGATATCAGAAAATAAAAAATGAGCATTGAGTGGGCTGAAGATGACGGTCTTCCTTCTGGGGTAGTTCGAGTGGACCGTGAAGGACCAGAAGATGGTAAAACCTATGTCATGTACCATGGCACAAAAAGGGCAAATGTTTCATCGATCCAGAAGTCAGGTTTTACTCAGTCTTCAGGCGGGATGCTCGGTCGGGGCGTTTACCTCAGCAGAGACCTGGAGAAAGCGAGTCGCTATCCCATCAATCACCCTGAGCATGACAGGGTTGTCATTAAGGTTAGGGTCAACGTGGGAAAAGTGAAGGCCATCAATCGTCAGGACCATCCACTTCAGAAGACCTGGCATGACCACGGATACGACACCGCCTGGGTGCCGCCCGGCTGTGGGATGGTGTCAAGTGGCCTGGAGGAGAATTGTGTCTGGGATCCCAAGCGAATCACAATCATTGAGACCATCAAACCAAAACCTGTCAGGGATACTCGAGCTGGTTCAAGACCGATCTCGATGAGAGAATTAACTTACTCACTCCCAGACCTCCCACACCATAATCCCTACTCATATGATTATGATGATGATTATGATGCATGGTGTGCATGGATGCACTACAGGTAAATTCCACAAGCAGTTATTGTTGTATTTTGCATATTTGGAAGCGTTTTATATATTTTGATGTAAAAAAAAAAAGACATTGAGTTTTGTATGTGTCATTGTAGTCCAGCAGGATTTCAGGCCATGGGGTGGAGCGCACCAATGCCAGACAGCAATTCTGATAGTGAAGGCGGTCGTGGTGGTGCTGACCGTGCTGGTTCTGGCCGTGGTGGTGCTGGCCGTGCTGGTTCTGGCCGTGCTGGTGCTGGTCGTGCTGGTGCTGACCGTGCTGGTTCTGGCCGTGCTGGTTCTGGCCGTGCTGGTGCTGGCTGTGCTGGTTCTGGTCGTGGTGGGGCTGGCCGTGGTCGTGCTGGCCGTGGTGGTTCTGGTCGTGGTGGTGCTGGTCGTGCTGGTGCTGGCTGTGCTGGTGGTGGCCGTGCTGGTTCTGGTCGTGGTGGGGCTGGCCGTGGTCGTGCTGGCCGTGGTGGCCATAAAGACTGAGCTTGGTTCATGTAGCCTTTGAACGACACTTATTTTGGTTTGTGTGTTTCTTTCTTTTGGGGTAAAATACAGGCTTGTGTGTCTTTTTTGTTTATTTATTAATAAAACCTTTATTCTGTTGTCAACTTTGCCTCCCTGTCTCCTTTTTCAAACTGGATATTGTTATCTCGGTAACATCAGTTCAATATTTATTCATATTAAAGCATTTTTAGTGTAAGGTAGAGCCTACTATCTTAGTGAGAAGACCCCATCAGTGAAGCAAGACTTGGTGACAGTGGGAAGGAAAAAGTTCTAACTGGAAGAGACTTTTCATACTTTATTCAAAAAGGTAAACGTTCATATATTCATTAACAGCAAAGTGCCTAAATGCACTGAATCCTCCCCAGTGATTGACCACAGAGATGACAAAACTAAAAAATATAATGATCTTAAAAAATGTAAAATCATAAAAAATGGTAAATGGCCTGCATTTGTATAGCGCTTTTCTAGTCCCTAAGGACCCCAAAGCGCTTTACACTACATCCACCCATTCACACTGATGGCAGCTACATTGTAGCCACAGCCACCCTGGGGCGCACTGACAGAGGCGAGGCTGCCGGACACTGGCGCCACCGGGCCCTCTGACCACCACCAGTATAAAAAAAAAACAAAGATGTTCAAAAATCCAAGCAAAACAACACAAAAAGGGAAAAATTGCCTATAAAGATTTTTTAATAGCAAAGAGGACATAAAATAGCCCCCAAAAAACAAAAGGGGGTTTGTTGGGGATCTTGCTCTTTTTAGGAGGCATGGGTTTGCTTTTTTAGCTTAAAAAATACTCAGAGACATTTGAAAGTGTAAATACAAAGTTAGCAGTAACCTTAAAGTTACAGTGATCACATTTATGGGAAATATGTTATTCCGGTAAACTGGTTTATGTTGTGTAGACGTAAGACAGCCTGCAGCAGGAAATGCAGCAGGAATCTGGCTGGGTGGGCGGTGCCTGCTACAAGTGTCCTTTTTGAGTCTTTTGATTCTGAATGAGAGCATGAAATCGTCATCTACAGCACATTAAACCTGGAGTCATAGTGAAGATCTGAAAACGTGTGAACATGAAAAAAATTCATAACAGAATTTAAATGAGTAGATTCATGTGAGTGACTAACAAGTTCATCCATGTGGCAGTGATTACTGTAGAGCCACAGCGCCCCCTGCACATGACAGCAGGCATTACTTTAAATTAATCCAAAAAAAAAAATTTAAATGAAGGAAAATATAAAGAATTTACACTAAAGTTCATAAAAACTGACAAACTGACGACTGGACCCTAAGAGTTAGTTTGGAGGTTTCTTCATATACAGGAGAGCAGGGATGTGAAATAGCACCAAAGTGGAAAAGTCAAGCACAGAAATTGAGAAGCAGATGGAAGATTACTGTGAATTTAATCAAAGATACGAGCAGAGTCTGAAAAGTCCAGAATAGTCAGATTGAGCTAGCTGAGCAGGAAACTGTGGCCTGGGCCAAAGCGACGTGCAGATAAGAAGATATATTCACTTTATTTGTTTTACCCAGACTCACCGAAGGTTTGGACTCAGGTTGAGTCTGTCTGCTGCAGCTCAGTCACATCTCCACTTCATGTGGGTCGTGTATGTGCAGCAGTACTAAGAAAGAAGTCTCCTGGTTTTCAGTTGGCCAATGAGCTGACAGATTTTTACTTTACCTTTTCTTATATCTTTGTCTTATCACTCCAGAAGCAGAAGGTTCCAGAGGTTTAGAAAATGCTCCAGTTGTAAAGACTACAAACCCCACATCACTAAATGATTTCAGGCCTGCTGCTTTAACGTCTCTAGTGATGAACATCAGGGAGGAGATTCTGCAGCAGGTGGAAGAGCTTCCACTGATATTTGCATACAGGCCTTGTATATACTCTACTGGTTCATCACAGTGATGTTGTCTCTCTCCTCTGCTCTATATTCTGTAATAGAATGACTGTCAAAGTACACATGATAACAGTCATTGTAAGTCATGGGGCTGTGGATGAGTTTGCTTCTTGGCGTCATTTTTAAAGATCAACACCCTGAAAACTGAAGACATGGTCACTGACTCCAGGGGGTCAGGCCCCATCCTGCACTAACAATAGTAAACGGTGCCAGCAGCCATTGAACTGGTGGACAGTTACAAGTATTTGGAGGGTAGTTTTTGATGTTCTGCCCTTTGAGTCACATTTTGCTGCTACAAAAAAAGGTCCAACAACGGCTGTGTTTGTAAGGAAATTGAGTATTTTTATGTTTCATCTGAAATTATGATACATTTTTAATCTGTTCTAATGTTTTGTAGCGTTGTTTGGTACGGTAATCTGTCTCTTTGTCACGGGACCGAACAGACTCAGGCTCTTAGAATGAAAAGTCACATTTTCAGCTGCTTCCCTCAGGTTGTCGGTGTGAAGTGCCTGCAGTGAAGACCTGCTGTTGTTGCCAACACTGTCGCACACAGCATTTCCTTCAAGAGTCAAGATTCAAAGTGTTTATTGTCATGTGTCCAAAGAATAAAAAGACATTTCTCTCTGCAATGAAATTCTTTCTTTGCTGCCGATTAATATATGCAAAAGAAATAGAACAGCTAAAATACAAATAGTACAAATAAATAAATGAAGACAGAAAGGGAGACAAAAATATTTAATTCTGAAACAGATGTGTGAAAAAGAGCCGTAGCTTAATATGCAGGATGGCCTGATGTGCAAAAAGTTATTATTACTGTTCGAAAATAGGTCAGCTGTTCACGAGTCTGATGGCTGTGGGGAAGAAGGAGTTGTTGAGTCTGGATGTTCTGGATTTCACACTCCTAAACCTCCGTCTCGAGGGCAGAAGTGTGAACAGTCCATGTTGGGGGTGTGTGGGGTCTTTGAGGATGGAGGCAGCTCTCCTCTGGACTCTGCGATGGTTGATGCTCTGCAGAGAGGGCAGCAGGGTCCTGATGACCTTCTCTGCAGTTGTTATCACTCTCTGCAGGTGTTTGGTCCATAGAAGTAGTGCTGCTGTACCATGCAGTGCTGCAGCTGGTCAGTGTGCTCTCCACAGTGCAGCTGTAGAAGCTGCTGAGGATCTTGGCCAACATACCAAATTTCCTCAGCCTCCTCAGGAAGTACAGCCGCTGCTGAGCCTTCTTGACCAGCTGTGTGGTGTTCAGTGTCCAGGTGAGGTCCTCACTGATGTAGACGCCCAGGTACCTGAAGCTGCTCACCCTCTGCACTTCAAGGCCCCGGATAAACAGCAGCTGGTGAGGCCTCCTCTTCTTCCTCGTGTCCACTATCATCTTCTTTGTCTTGTCAGTGTTGAGGGTG